TCTCCACAGTTAAGTTTTGTTTTCTTTGGTTTTGTTTACTTTGTAGATACAAAGTGTTTTCTGTGGAAATTTTGACATTGTATTAATATTTCTTCTCTCATTCCACTTTCACCCAACAGTTTTAGTACTCGTTGATATTTCTTGTCTGAATTAGTACTGTGATAATTGCAAAATGGTGAATTTTTTTTTTAAATTCAGTCATTTCTTTCACATTTACTGGTTGGCATTGATGGAAGGGCAGGTTTTTCTTTTTCATACTTATTTATCCATATTGATTCAGGGATTTCTATGTCATTCTATGGATTAGTATCTGTGACTATTTATATTCATTTTGATGCTTAAGTTTCTTGGGTTTGGCAAGTGGGAGTCACTTCAAGCAGGTTTTCTTTGTCCCTTTTCATTTGACCTACAAAATGCTTTTATTCTTTCTTTGAATGTTGCATTACTTATTTACATACTTTATTACTTCCAGGAACATATTTTTTGTTGTTGTTTTGTTTTGTTTTTTCCAAATTCAGTCCTGGACTCTGCCATTTGCCCAGAAGCTCCACTTTATTGTAATGAAGAGTTGTATTGTACTTAGAAACCAAGCTTTGCATGCCAGGAGAGTTCATTGCTACTGGGGTGTTGCTACATCTAGAACTTTCTATTAACAGAGTGAGAAAATATATGTATGAATGAATATGGATATACAACTACACACATATTCACACACATACATACATCTTTATAACTATATTTTTACATATCTGTCATCTATGATCTATCTATCATCTATCTATCTATCTATCTGAAAACCTTGAGTTTATGCCAGTACTGCCAATTTCAGTCTAACACCACAGGTTTATTCCAACTTCCCTTATGTCCATATTTGTACCTTCCTTCTCCTTCAGTGAGAAATCTGTTTCCATACTTCATTTATTTATTTGCCCAATTTCCTCAATGTCACTAATCACCATCCCTGCCAGACTGCATGTACTTACTGCCTTGCTCCAACGTATCAAATTCTCACAGGCTTTCATTGATGGCTTCTGGGATGTCCCTGCCATCCTGTTCCAACAGGCTGTCCTTATGTAAAGCCTGTGCAAGTTGTCATTACAGGTTGTCACCTGACTACATTGACTCCCTGCTTCAAGATAACATCCTTCCACAGGTGACCATCACTGCCATTGCTAATATCTTTTAAAGCAGGAAAAAGGGCAGACAGTTTCTAGTTCATATTTACAACCCCAACCCTCTATATTAAATTCCTTTCTGCTTGACATACCTAGAGCAAATTTTGTTTCCTTAAACGAAAGCTAATCATTATACTTCGGTACATAATGTCAATGCAAAAAATTCTAATGCACTGTAATTTTATATGTCAAATAAATAAAATTGTACCTGAAAGTCAAAATAATAAAAATATTTGCTTAAATATTGCTTAAATATTGTATTTGCTTAAATATTGTATTTACTTGTACTGTATTTCTTGTATTGTACAAGAAAAAATCATGACAATTTTTTTTATCTGAAATAAAATATTTGCAAATTTTAAAAGTGTTGCTACTAATAACCTAGCAGATGCTTGAAACACTTTATTATAGATTAATAGATATGTATTTTTCACTTGCAGTATGTAATTGAAGCTTAGAATTTTTGTCCTGCCAAACTGATTTGAAGTCACATTTATGCAGAAAATGCCAGACTATTATAACTGTTAAAGATGTGTTTAAAAAACTCAAGTGCTGATAAATATTAGATAATAAATTTTAGAATATTATTTTATGGAATAAATTTGTCCTTTGAAAGAAGGCTGAGTTTTATTTTTATTTTCATGGAATGGTGTGTGGAATAAAAGTTTCTGCAAATAAAGGAAAGTCACTGCATTACAGAAACATATTCATTATCTGCTTGTCAGGACAGAATTTAACTAGCTGGGGGCACAAGCGATGCTATTTGTGAAAGAAAGCCTTTTCCAAATCTGGCTCTTGTAACCTTCTATCTGTTCATCTTGTGCCACATGACAGGTGAAAAATGTAACCTGAGAAAAACTGATGCTTTGAAATATTTCTACTAAGTGAAGTTTATTCATCTGAAATATTTGCTTGCAAGGAAAATACCCCTGGCAGTGTTTTCATATCTTTCTCTCATAGTTTTAAAATCCTTGGGATTTTTAAAATGATGAAATTAAAAGAAAATATGCATCAAGTTCATTTGGACTTTTGGAAAAGAAAATTTTCATCCTTTGTAAAATAAAATATACAAATAAACAAAAGCCTCAGAAAAAGTACTGTTAGAATTCTCAGTTCTAGTATGTGTATGAAGCAATATAAGAATTTTTAAAATGATCGACATAAGTGTCCTGGCTATCTCATTTGTATACTTGAAATTCACTATTAATTCACCTGTTGCTAAATTCCACCATGAACACAAAGTAATCTTTTTTAAAAAAAGTCAGAGTCAATTTTCAGCTGATCTAATTCCAAGGGTTTAAGAGGCATAGAATGAAAATTAATAAGCTGAGGAAATCTAAGCTCTTTAAGTTGATTCAGTAAATATTTATTGGTTTATTCCTGTATTCTAGGTACACTGCTAGGTATTAAGACAGTTATGAATGAATCTGAATGTAGCATAGTCTTGTGCCACAAAATGTTTTCAGTCAATTACCGGAGAAGTGGAAAAGGGAATTTATACATATCAGTGTAACATAAAGAAGCAGTTTTTAATAAATGCCTTAAGATTTCATCTAAGTGGCAGTGAAAGTTATATTTTCTCCTTCACTGCTTTCCTATCTTGTAATTTGGATTGGCACTTTAATATGTAGAATATGTATGGTCACTGTGAAATAATATCAGGAAACAGAAAAGAATTGAAAACATTGGAGGTTTAGTAATAATATTTAGTACAGTGTGAATGTCACCCAAAATATAAAACTTAATCCTCACCGTGGTAATATTGAGAGGTGGGGATTTTGAGGAAGTGACTAAGTCATGAGGGTTCTACCCTCACAAAAGAATTAATGCCCTTATAAAAGAGATTTCAGAGAGAGTTAACTTCTCTTGTTCTTCTGCTCTTCTGCCATGTAAGAACATCATGTTCATTTCCTCCAGACGATGCAGCTATAAAACACCATCTTGGAAGCAGGGACTGGGCTCTCACCAGACACCAAACCTTCATCTTGGATTTCCCAGCCTCCAGAACTGTGAGGAATACATTTCTGTTATTTATAAACTACCCAGTCTGTGGCATTGTGTTATAGCAGCACAAACAGACTAAGGCAATATTCTAAAATGGCAAGGGACAGTATGCTAGAGCAGCCTTTCCCAAACGGTGCTCAAATGTGCATGTAGTTGATGCTGGAAAAGAAAGAAAACAAAAGGTATTCCAAGGTCAGTGAGTTTGAGAAATGTTGGATTCATTAAAGATGAACCAGCTTCTTTCTTGTAGAGTTCTCTTGTATAAAATAATTCCAAGAGGGAATTATAATATGCTGGGACACGATTTGGGGAAGTCTATGCTACGAAAACAGGCAGAAATAGCAGGCAAAACAACAACCTAAAATCACAATTTATTTAACTGCTTTGATTTCCTGTACTCTTTTAAAACATTTAACTCAAATGTTGCTTGTAGCTTAGCCAGTATCAATCCCTGTTTTCTGTTGCCACATTTAAAGACTGGAAACAAATGCATCAAAATGCTTGCTATCTTTTTATCCCTTGCAGATGTCCTTGCTCCCTGGTAAAGAAAGCATTGGAATGTTGCCATTTTAATTAGGCTTAGCTACAAAAAAAGCCTTAATCTGCTATTGAGATGTATATTTGCCTGTTTTATTAAAGCTTAGAGGAGGGGGAAAGGTGGTTTTCCATTTATGGAAATTACGTAATAATACAGATACACTTATTCCAAGATAGTTTTTACAACTTGGAGTGAATATGAAATATAATTGATGATTTTGAAGCCCTTCCCAAAATAAAGAACATTGTTATGTTATTTTTAATAACCAGAATTTTTTTCTATCATTATTAAGTCATTACTTTTTGAAAGTGTCAGGTAGTATAATTTTTCATATTAAAAAGAATCTCCCATTCCTATATCAGATACTTTTATTATTGTAAATATCACCTTCCCTTAATTAAGGAGAAATCAAACAGAGAAAACAGCTTTTATGAGTGTTATTGGCCTGCTATAATACTGTATCTCCAATGTTTAAGTTTATGTTCATTTAAGTCTTATGTTTATTGTAAATTATTGTAAGAACTTTTAAGATTTGTATACATTTTTCATGATTTCTTTTCTTTCTTTCTTTTTTTTTTTTTTTTTTTGAGATGGAGTCTAGCTCTGCTGCCCAGGCTGGGGTACAGTGGCACGATCTCTGCTCATTATAACCTCCGCCTCCCGGGTTCAAGAGATTCTCCTGCCTCAGCCTCCCAAGTAGCTGGAATTACAGGCACCTGCCAGCATGCCCAGCTAATTTTTGTCTTTTTAGTAGAGACAGGGTTTCTTTGTGTTGGCCAGGCTGGTCTGGAACTCCTGACCTCATGATCCGCCCTCCTCGGCCTCCCAAAGAGCTGGGATTACAAGCATGAGCTACCATGCCTGGCCTGCAACATTTCTTAAGAATGAATTTTTAATATGTTCAGGCAGGATTATTCTATGTTACGGAATCTGGGGGTTCTATACTTGGTTTTAATGTAATAAACATTTATTTAAAGGTAAAAGAACATGAAGGGGGAAAGGTGTCATAAATATGAATACATCAAACATTTAAAATAAATAAGTCTTAAGGACACAAAGACATACAGAGTAATCAAATGGATTTGGGGGATCTGAGGGTGGGGGAGAGTTTGGGAGGGGGGTGAGGGATAAAAGACTATGTATTGGGTACAGTGTACACTGCTCGGGTGATGAACGCACTAAAATCTTAGAAATCACCACAAGAGAACTCATCCATGTAACCAAATCCACCTGTACCCCAAAAACTATTGAAATAAAAATAACAAGAGAAAAAAATAAAATAAATAAGCCTAATAATTATCTTGGAACATGAACAACCATATTAATATTTAGCTATCGTTTTTGAAAATATTATGTTTATGAATTAATCATTGTGTTAATGTTTTAGTTACATGAGAGCATGTAGCAGTGATAAGGACCAAAGACCACAGAAATTAAACTCTGGCTCCACCACTGTAGGATGTGTGTCCTTGGAAAAATCTCTGAACTTCTCTGTGACTCAGTTTCATCATTTGAAAAATCAGAATGATATTAGCAGCTACTTGAAAGTACTGTTTTGAGGAATAAATAAGTTAATATTCATGAAGTACCTAGAATAACGCCTGGAACATGGTTAGCATTAAATACACTTGGTTTGCCTCTTCAAACCTAACATTTATTTCAACAGTAGTTAGACTCAGTTCACCTTAAAAATTCAATCCAATCCCTTTCCTTTAAGTGCTATAGTTGCCTTTGGCTATTACTACTAAAAAGCTCCTCTAAGAATTAGTCAGACATTGGAGAAAGCAAAAGTAAGATTTTAATTTGTAACTTCACATGAGTGCTAATCTAGAAGTACCAAAAATCTCCATCAAAGTTTAATGAAAGAAACAGAGTGCTCTATTTCTAAACAAACTAATGAGGTCACCGCTAACTTTTCTTTTAAAAATTGTTAAACACAACTATCATTAAATCAATGTTGTGTTGAACAAACAAAACTCTTCCAACCAATACTGCCATGAACAAATACTTACATCTAGAAAAATACAAAGTCTTTACATTACCTCTCTCTCATATGCACTTTTAAAAACATACTTCAGGAGGTCCCACCAGCCAGCAAGCCAGAGCATGGCGGCCATCCCCTCCAGCGGCTCGCTCCTGGCCACCTACGACTACTACCGGCGCCGCCTGGATTCCACTTTCAGCAACAGCTCCTGCGGCAGTATCGAGTGCCCCGGGGAAGCCATTCCCCACCCCCCAGGTCTCCCCAAGGCTGACCCGGGTCACTGGTGGGCCAGCTTGTTTTTCGGGAAGTCCACCCTCCCGTTCATGGCCACGGTGTTGGAGTCCGCAGAGCACCCGGAACCCCCGCCCCCGGGCCCCCAGGCCTCCAGCAGCATGACCACCGGTGTTCTGGCTCGGGACGCCCCGAGTCCAGCACAGTCAGCGCTGGGCCCCGGTCCTGACCTGAGCGGTTACCACCAGCCCAGGCCTGTGGAGGCGCTAGTCCACCAGAGCACCTCCCCGCCCCCCGCCCCCTCCCTACCTCCCACTCCCCACCCTCTAGACCAGGCGGCTGCAGCAAGCAGACCTTCGCATCAACACAGCAGACACCAAAAAGGAGTGAGGGCCCAGCTCTCTACCGCCCGGCCCCGGCACTGGCTAGCTTTCCTGGCACCTGGAACTGTGCACCTGGCACCAAGCGGAAAATAAACTCCATGCAGCCAGTAAAAAAAAAAAAAAAAAAAAATCAGAACTTTGCGTAGTGTCTTTTTCATATTCATTTACTACATATTTGAGGTTTTTTGTTTTTTTTTTTTTTTTTTTTTGCTGAAAATTATAAAATGCATCATCGAAATTCAGATTTCAGTTTGGCATTAAAATAAAACACTGCAAAAGAGGAGTTTAAAATATCACCATTGCTAATCATTGAAATAGTTGATCTCTCCAAGATTTCTGGGGTAAGGCCAAGTTTTCCTTGATTTTCTCTTTACTCCATACTTGCTCTACCCTCTTCCTGAGGTGCTCAATAAGCTTCAACCTACCCAAGCCTGACCTCATCCTATGCCCTAGAATTTATCTTGTATCTTTCTCTACTTATAAACTTACCTCCCTTGGGTCATTGTAATGGGTACATATTGAGCTATCTTTCTAGCCTACACATTGATATCTTGTCTTTTCCATAGATGCTACTCCACATTCAAGAGTAAGCCACCATTAGGATAGGCATCTAATAGATGATACTGCCCCATTGATAATAGCTTATTGGCACAAAGGTGTTCATCTGTTCCAAGTTGGGCATGATGGTTTTTATTCTTAGAGAATTGGAAGTGAAATGAAGTTCTGATGGCATGCATCCGTATGTTTAAAGTCAGAACTTTGGGGTGCCAATGTTTTATCTGTGGAGCAAAGAGCCAAGAAGAGTCTATAATGAAAAGACTGAAGCCAACACTCTGGGAAGAGGAAAGATGAAAACTGCAGTGAATAGGCATCTAATTCCCAGTTTCAGCACTTTTCTGAGGTTTGTGTCTATTCATGACTTTGGGAAGTGAGACATATCCCTCCCCTTTCCAACAAAATTACCATTTTGCTAGTGATAGAAGAGTCAAGGAGATATTTTGAGAAAGCCAGACGTCTTGTAATCTTAAAACATTTTACTATGACTATAGCTATGTCTGGCCTGGTACTATCAAAATGCAAATTTGAATTTTACCACTAAGGCCAACAGACATCGATACGGCATCAAAATAACAATTCTTAACACCAAAGTATTTAAGATTAACAGAAGAAACACCCACAGGTGGCTAGTTGTCACTATAAGCCTCCTCAGCTATAAACAATTTGTTTAAAACTTCAAGCAACAGTTTATTCAAATTACAGATGAAAACTCTGCAAAAACCTTGCACTATGAAAGTACTCTTCATCTTTCAGGTCATACAAGCATTTTTATTTCATCCTTAAGCACAATGGGAATTGCCAGATTTTGCAAATCAAACTAAAAGACACCAGTTAAATTTGAATTTCAGATTATAAACACTGACTTTTAGTATAATATTTTAGACATACTTATGCTAAAAAGTTACTTGTTCTTTGTCTGAAATTCAAGTCTAACTGGGCATCCTCTATTTAATCTGCCAACCCAAAGCATAGTGAATAATATGCAATCACAGGTGTGGGAGGGATTTTTTCCCCCAGACTGTATTTTAAGTGGTAAGAGTTGTCATTAGGCAGTTAAATCAGTCAAGATGCAAAATGCCAATTTCTACCAAAATGTTCTTTCAATGAATTGTATAGCTGTGTTCAATGTAGATGTGTGACTGTTGGTTTTTGAGGCTCCTTCTTAATTCCTTCTTGTAGGGAGAGCTGGGGAAATGAAAGGACACTTTATATATGTTAAATTTTAGTAAAACTTTCTTTTTTATTTCTGGAATTAACAGTAATACAGAATCCATTATTCTAGAAGTAGATTAATTTTCTTGAGAACAGAATCGGATGGTAAAAAAGGGAGATGACAATAAAAAACAAAGGCAAGGTAAGATAATTTAGAAAAAATAAGAAGATTTAGATATTTTTAAAGCTTTCTGCTTGCTTTGGCTATTTTTAAAACCAAATTGGATTAACTTCAAAGCGAATCTAATCATTTGGGCAAAATTGATAATAGGAGCAGAAAAAAATATAATTTAACGAGTAAAATCGGTCACAAAATTGATACTGCTTCGGATTCAAAAAATCTTAGTTGTACTGAGATTTATATCACAGTACAAAAAGATGGAGCTTGTCTTTTATCCTCTGAAAATTCTATTCTCTCCTTCTTTCTTCTTTCTCCTTTTCCCTCTCCTTCTTCTGCCTTCCACAAATGAAAATAGCATACAAGCATAAAGTGTGAAAAATACTACATTCGGGGAGGTTTGGCTCAAAAACAGCAGCCATGGGACAGGTTGTAGGGAGTGGTAGTAAGGAGTGGGGAATGTCATTTCTAAAAGCTCCCCTTAGTAAGAGCCAGTGCTGCAGCAGGTCATTAGTATGCCGAGTTATGTTTTTGGAAATGTAATGTGTCTGCCTGAATCCATGTAATAATGAACTGTGATACTAAGAAGTATTAATTAAATCAAGATAAATAAGATCATTGTACTTTGAACTTAAAAATGATGTATATTCAACAATATCTTACAAATTTGAACATAGCATAATATACACCTCAAATACCTTTCTAGTAAAAATGAGCTATTACATTCTCAGAAATAATTGGGACCCTTTTCCAAACTGAGGCTGAGGCTCCATAAAGGAAACTTCCAGCAATATGACTTGCTTTCACTCAGTGCCTATCAAAATTCTTCTTGTGGTAGCTCTTGGAAAGATTATCTTTTTTTATGATTAGAACAGGGAATATAGGTGTCTTGCTGACTAAATTGCTCTTTCTGATGTCTGATGTACCCACCCACTATGTCAGACTCTCCAGTACTAATATGTAGGTCCCTTTAAACCAGTAGGTTACACATCAAACTTCAGGTTTGAAGCTCTGGAAGATTCTCTAGGATCACAGGTTAAAATCTCACCAGGTCCAATGCAACCTTTCATTCTTCCAGAAGGGATAAATCAACCGGCACGTACTTCACTGTGTTAGGGTGTTTCAGATGAGAACTTATAAACTTAGACTCCTTTGCTTTGTAATGACATTAAAGATCTCATGGGGTGTTTGTTCTAAGGTTTAGAGACCGTCCTAAAACCTTGAGTAATTTTTGCTTATACTTGAAGTCTGCACTATGAAATGCTTGAACATTCTTATATGTTATTAAGGCTTTATGTAACTTATTAAACTATGAAAATTAAATTCACCTTTAGAAAGTACTTGCAGAACTCACATTATTTGGAACTCAAGATTACAAAGTACATGGTATGATTTGAACACCTGTAGTCCCATTTTCATCTTTTGTGTATCACATACACTTTTATGCACCTTCAGCTTAATAGTATGACAACTGGGCCAGTGTCTGTGTTTTTAATCAGCCACAATCTACTGGTGCTAGACCCAACTCTAGAGTCATAACATGTAACACATTTAGACCTCCAGTGACTTTTATGTCCAAGGCCCCAAAGACTTTTCGAAGACTTTACTAAAGTAACTCTCATTGCCCTGTGTCTGATCGAGTCTGCCTGGATTACCCCCCGCCTGGCACTATATTATACACATTCACCTTATGATTTCAATTCCTCTTTTCATGCTTTTTGGGTTTTTTTTGTTTTTTTTTTTTTTACTTTATTGCTTTTAAACTGCCATTTCCCCCATTGTTTATGATTAGTCGATCTATCTTTCTGGCAAACAAATGAACAAGGAGAAAAGTGACAAAAAGCAGCTGGTGAGTGTGTCAATATGGATCATGGGGACAGATTCTCCTCCTCAGCATTCAGATGCTGCCCCTTGATAATTTGAGCTTAGAGTTCATTTTAGAAATCCAAGAGCTATCTATAATACTTTGTGTCATACATTTTTGCTTCACTTTTTCTCATTTGATTGAAAGCCACTTAGAGGCTTCATTTCCATTTCATTGTGAAGCAGGATCCCATAGGATCATTCTATCAGAAAAATTTCCACACCATGTTCACAGTTTCCCTTAGGGAGGGTGTCCTGTTGGAAGTGTCCAAAAAATGGGGGAAGGTATAGAATACATAACACATTTACTTTTATAATTCATGTGAGATTACTTGAGGAAACTTATATGTAAAAACCAACCTTACTCAATTCCTAAAATATCTGAATATTTCCTCCTGGAAAGTCTTTTACAAACCCCAAATGGAGATATTCCTTCCATTCTATTCATGTTCTTAATACACTTAGAGCCCGATGGAAACACCTCCTCTTTTCTTTTCACATATCATCATAATTAATTCCATAAGCTTCTTCCAGCTTGCAAATTTAATTTTTATTTTCGTAGAAGTTAATAGCTTTATAATAGAACAAATGCAGGGAGTAGTTCCTCTGAATGGAGATGCCACAGTTTTATGTACCCAAATGAATCTCCGCTTTCTGTGTTTAATATGACCTATGTTCTCTGCCAGAAACTTTAATATCATCTCATTCATCACTCAGCTTGCTCAGTCTCCTTTGTCTATCTTGTTCATTTTTTCCCCAAATCACTTGCTGATAGACCAAAATTATAACTGTAGTATTTCCCTGTTTTAGGTTTTACATTTTTCCTTGAAAACAGCATAATTAAGTTGGATAAATCCTTGTCATCCCATTTGAATGTTCTAAGTAAAAATGGTACAATGTAACATTTTAGAATTCCATAGCCTGAATCAACATCAAACAGATGTATGCGTACACACACATGCATGCACACAAACACATTCTCTATGAGACAAAGGTCTTTTGTGTCTTATTCACTGCTTTATTTCTGGGCCTATCTTGGTGCCAAGCACATACGTAGCACAAGTCAACAAATATTTGTTGAACAAATGAAATTAGATATTAATCAACTCATATGTACTCGCATGCATACTAAAATATTTGAGATGTTTAAACAAATAAAAACATAAATGTTTATAATTAGTTTGATGAGTTAAAACTAAATGTGATAAAATCCTAGTAAGCTATCTCTCAGTGACTAGAATATTTCGTGCCCTTCAGTTCAGTCTCTCAGTTCACAGGGGTTTCAAGAGAAACTCTCCAATTATAAACACCATTTATATGATCATTTTACAAGTAGATGTTG